TTGATCCCAAAATCTGTGACCCTCAAGCCCAGCAGCTGGGCACAGCTGGGCACAGCTGGGCAGTTTATCCCAGCGGGGTCCCTGGGAGGAGAATGAAAGGGAGGAGGGGGAGGAGGCTGAGGATGAGGATGATGATGATGATGATGATGAGGCTGAGATGAGGATGAAGATGAGGCTGAGGCTGATGAGGAGGATGATGATGGTGATGAGGCTGAGGATGAGGCTGATGATGATGAAGATGATGATGAGGCTGATGCTGATGATGATGCTGAGGATGATGAGGCTGATGAGGCTGAGGATGAGGATGAAGATGAGGCTGATGATGCTGAGGCTGATACTGATGATGATGATGATGCTGATACTGATGATGATGCTGAGATGATGATGATGAGGCTGATGATGATAATGATGAGGCTGATGGTGATGATGCTGATGAAGATGCTGAGGATGATGATGATGATGCTGAGGCTGATGATGATGCTGAGATGATGATGCTGATGAGGCTGATGATGCTGAGGATGATGATGATGAGGCTGATGATGATGCTGAGATGATGATGATAATGATGAGGCTGATGATGATGCTGAGATGATGATGCTGAGGCTGATGCTGCTGATGAGGCTGATGATGATGATGAGGCTGATGGTGATGCTGAGGATGATGATGATAATGATGAGGCTGATGATGATGCTGATGGTGATGATGATGCTGAGGCTGATACTGATGATGATGGTGATGATGATGCTGAGGCTGATGATGATGCTGAGGCTGATGATGATGATGAGGCTGATGATGATGATGATGAGGCTGATGATGATAATGATGAGGCTGATGATGATGCTGAGGCTGATGATAATGATGAGGCTGATGATGATGATGCTGAGGCTGATGATGATGCTGAGGCTGATGATGATGATGAGGCTGATGATGATGATGATGAGGCTGATGATGATGATGATGCTGAGGCTGATGATGATGATGAGGCTGATGATGATGATGAGGCTGATGATGATGATGCTGAGGCTGATGATGATGCTGAGGCTGATGATGATGATGAGGCTGATGATGATGCTGAGGATGATGATGATAATGATGAGGCTGATGATGATGCTGAGATGATGATGATGAG